CACACAAACMCACACGCGCACTCCGAAAACAAATACGCCGCGCATAAAAAGTAAGGATACTGGAATATCCGGCGCAAATATAAACTGTGCATACCTGGTACTTGTAGCAGCAATATTTGGCGCATTAAAAATGTATATATGTATAGTAGTATACTTGGGGATGTGTATGTACYACGTGCTGTTGACAAAAAGCACATTGAAATCAGCGCGACTACGAAAATAAATAAATAAACTTCGTCAATTCGAGCATCATTMATTTCCTGTTGACAAACACTGCCGAAGTATGAACAGGCAACTTGCCTATGTAAGGGTATGTGTATGCGCGCATATTTGTACACATGCACAAGGCATTTATGAGCAATTTATTGTTGTTGGAAAATGATAAATCACATTGAAAGTTGAGTGTGTCAGCTGCGTGCGGGATAAAGGATGGCATATGAAGTGGAAAAACTTGCTACTCACAAACACACACACACACACCCAAATCTACATATATATTCATTCAAACATTATTACTCACATGCATGCGTATACTTGTAAGTATTACTTGTAGAACTTACGTACGGGATTTTCTTGTCACTGTGGCTGAGATTTCGTATTAAAACGATTCGAAGTATCGGCAGTCAGATCGAGGACAGCGGCAGCTAAGTGCTGAAAGCATATTTACTGAGGATACTGTCAGACAGGAGATGGCTACCGGAGCATTTATTAAAATTTTTTGTTGCCTTTGGCATTATTGGTAATTCAATGCGTCAAAATGTGCTTATCAGTTGTCAGCGTACGCATATACATACAAGTATGTTTGTATATATTTTCACRTATGCTATTATCATTAACGACAGTGTAAGCTATATGTCTTACGAAAGTCTCCACACATACATATTCTTCCTTTTTCACATTATCATTTTCCATGAAATTAATGAACTTTATTTGGCATATGCGTAGATTGGGTAAAGATGTACAGTGTAAGCAAGAGAAAGAAGAAGTGGTAAAATCGGGAGAAAAAATAAAGAAATTATATTCATTTGCATTTGGTAATCTCATTTTGACTGCTTGTTCGATGGGTAAGAGCTTCCATATAATTACTTTACTCCCTTACTTGATATCATTATTGGATAGACTGCAGCGGTTTTTACATCCATCAGATTTGTATGGTAATATTTATTGTACAGAAAATTCTTCTGAATTTGAATTAAAATCTTARATTTTTTTGAGACCATAAACACACGGTCCCTCAGAACCTCTTGTCGTCAGTAAATAAGTTGCGGATRATATTTTCATGATTATATATGATGTGATATTGTAACACGTGATTTAATAACATGTTAATTTATGATGTGATCTGATAATATCTGACCTGGTATCATCATCTGATGAAAAARTTTCATGTGATGATTTGATATGATATGATTTGATTTTGTATGATGTGCTCTAATCATATGATTTAATTTTGTATGATGTGATCTAATCATGATTTTGTATGAATTGATGTAATCATATGATGTGGCGTACCGGTGAGTCAAAAATCGATCTGATATCAGACAATGTGATATCTCTATTCTATTCTATGACGTGATTAGTCAATGAAGTAATCTAATTTGTATGAGAAGCTCTGACCATGTAACAAATAATGTTATGTGATGCATACTATATGGTATTGAATGATGAAATTTGACGTGATTACGTGGTATCATTTAACACGAAATTATTTGAAACGATGTGATAAGATGTGAGCTGATCTAATGTGATGTAATATCAAATATCACATGAGAGRGTTGATTCAATGGGCTTGAAATCTCCTGATTTTATATCACATGCCCAATATTTTTTAATTCAACAAGGAATGTTGGTTTAATGATAATATTATCATATGGAATGAGTTGATTCAATGAGTTTGTTATCACTTGATCTATCCTATGATGTAAACATGTGATGTGTTAGATGTGATATGACATTATATGAAGATATGATTTCATGAATTGGTTTACTGCGCAATGTAATCCACAACAAAGCGTTCTCACATCACATGTTATGATGTGATATAAATTTAAATAACTACAGATGATTTGTATAAATACACTTTATATAAAAGTTGGAATTGATAATTATCTGCATTAAATAAACACGGCTCCTTCATTCCATTAAGCGCATTTAATCACCTTTCATTGAAAGCAATSACTTCGCCGCACTGTGGGCTTATTTAAATTTCAATTTAATAATTTTATGTCCACTCAGCATGACTGCGGTTTCGAGTGCGCATTGCGCTTACATGCAAGCTTCTCRCGCGGTCCTCACCATGTTTTATGCAGAATTAATGTCACTTCAAGCAGACTGAGAGCGAGCTCTGCTTTCCTCCCGCTTTGGGCTCATRCATATTAATTATTAAATTCAATCAGCTGTATGGGTATGTATTTCACGAGCATTGCTGCGTGGAGGTGTTGATTAAAACGTGATTTAATAATGGCGGCGCGCTGCCAGCGCTTAAAGTGAAAACTCAATGYACAAATACAACTATTCATGCGTACAACATGTATGGAATATTATTGACGCGGAAAGTTTAATCAAAATTCTGCACTGCAATACTAAAGGGAAATTAATGAATTGATATCAGGATGTATACATATGTAAAAGCTTTTAATGCAACTGCAGAACATATATGAACTGCGATTTATAAATTCTGAGCTCAAAATCAACATATTTGAATATGATGATTAGTATGATTTGGGCTCTTTARTTATGTGGAGAATAAATTTGTTGATACGGTTATTATTATAAAGGAATACTGAAGCATGCACTTAGGTGGCTTATAATAGAATAGGTAAAAGTTGGTTGAACAATTAAAGCATTATCAAAAAATAAAAAAATAAATGGGTTCTTCCTATGTCAATACTTTACTTTATTCACAAAAAAGCTCCGTGTGTGTATTCAGAAAAGCATTCATTTCGATAAACAGTGCTTCGATCTCTTGACTACCACTTGTATTCGATTGCACATTATCATAACTCGCTTGTCTCTACTTTTAATGTATTGCTTCAAATGGCAAACAATAACAAACAATAAAAAACTTGCTTTAAAAACAAAATTTACAATAAGATTAACCCAAAAACCATAAATTCAAACCCCCACAATATTTCTATAAAAAATCTCTGTTCATTCTCCGTGTGTTTATGTGAAAAAGTGTTGGAAAATTTTTAATTGCTGTTATTTCAAACCCCAACCAACAAACAAAAAAAACAAAAATATGCTCGAACTTTCGCATATTGATTACATGTTTGCTACTATGGTCAACTTGGTTATGTAATTACATGTAGATTTCGGGAAATAAGTGGAAAATGCTTGATGGCTTAAACTTTTGATGTCAAGCAGAAAAATTAAATGAAAAATAGCTATGCTTAAGCATTTGAGTTTATAGGTATGTAAGTATATTTAAGCTAAGTGCTGTTTCGAACTCTTTCAGCAGTAGGGGTATAACCCCTTTTATGGGATTAAATTTCAAGCACTGTTTATTTGATGGTTGCCCGGACACAACTTTATTGCGGTAATGAGCTATGAATATTTTTTATGCAGGCAAACGAAATACACCGTTACCCATACGAGTATTACTATAGAATTGGCGGACAACAATAAAATCAATACCGCTGCAAAGCAAAGGAGAGCSGAAAGCAGCAACCGGCATACTTAGATAACTGCTGAAAGTGTAATTTTGATGACATTGATGACGCTATAGTGATTAAAGCAGAGATGAAAAAGATGTAGTGAAAAGAGGAAAGAGATTACATAAAAAATATTTTTTTTTTGAAAAATTCCCAAACCATTACAATTTTAGTCACGAAATGAAATACCGAAATTTTAGAATTGTCATAGACCGCTTACTTGAGAAATATCTAGAAATTCTTAATCATTACAATTTTAATCCCGAAATGAAATCTCAAAATTTCGGGATTATTATTTTCTCGTTATTATTTTCTCGTGATTTTTCATTTGGTAGAAATTTGGAAATAGTCCCTTAGTAAAAGAGTCTTGCAATTTCTAATGGAATTATTATTTTAAATTGTTGATTCCTGAGAATTTCCGACTCGAAAGGCGTTTTTCGTGTTTATTACTTAGGGTACATGCAGCAGTAGTATTTCAAACCCGAAAGCATATTTTCGGAATCATTTGGGGTACTCACAACCCATCGTAAAGCATCGTAAAATCATAAAATTATAAATTTTTACACTTGTTTAAAAAAAATGTTGTTGGATTTCATACAAAAATGAGTTTACACATTTATAATTCTCAATGCTATGTTTTCGAATCGTTATAACTTATAACTTTATGAGACTTGTTGCGTGACACTAGAGCAACTTCAACTTGAAAAACATTTTTACTGATTTAGTTGTGTAAGAAATACGAAACTAAAATACTTTTTATTATCGTTAGAGCTCCCTAAGCTTCGCTTGGGTGTGTGTACATGACGAGTAAATGAAAAATATGGATGCCACTACCAAAATTTCGACATTTCGGGATTGAAAATCGTGATAAGCTGATCATAAGCAGATATTTGTGAAATTTATCAACATCGAGTAGAAATCTCAAAATCCCGAAATTTCGGGATTATATAAAAAATTTCGGGATTAAATATGGTGTTGTAAATATATGATAAGATTGTCATAATAATAATAAATTTATCAAAATTGAGAAAATTTTCAGAATCCCGAAATTGGTAATTTSGAAATTTCGGGATTGAAAATCGTGGGATTGTACATCATACTTAAGTGATTAGAATATAAATAACGTTATCAGTGCAGTTATATTAACTGTAAACTATAAACCGGCAACATAAACGCCATGAATAATTCATTATTTATAAAAGTGAACAAGAAATTTCATTTCAAGTTATTGCTACCATCTACCATTTCCATCGTCAATTCCCCACTTTCACTTTTCACGCAAACAAGTTGATATACTACATTCCCCCCGAATCCCTATTTTGTTATTTTATGTTGAGCCACACTCACCTTTTCACCTGCGGWATGATTATCTGACCCGTGTGCTTGCATGCCTCCACGCAGGTTCGGCGCAATTTACGAATTTTCTCCCGCAATTCGGGGCAGTCCCTTGCTTGGCCCACATGTATTAGCATATCACGGAAGAGTGCCACTTGGCTGTTGATTTCCACAATGAGCTGCAACGAAATTGACAGAAACACAGAAGAGAATAATATAAATGATAGGTGCCAAGACRTATGGGCAGCCATAAAGTAGTACATGGCACATAAATAGTTAAACAAACACAAAATTGAACTCGTAAATTTCAGCATTAGGCCCAACATTAAAGTCATTTAAATATTAATTAAATTGGCTTTTSAAATTGCCCGGGCGCTGCTACCTTCTAAATTAGCATTCCAAAGTAGTTTTGCTACCGAAATTAGTACCAACTAAAATAAACATAACAACAACAATAATAAAAGCAACAACCACAACAGTGAGCTCGACACAATCRGCTGGCGCGCACACAAATTGCAAGTGTATTGGTGCAACCACAATGTGCCCCAGAGATGCTGGCTGTGGCCAGGACTCTCGGAATGACAAAAAAAGGKTAAATGTCAACAACAGCAACAACAACAGCACAACAGAAAGGCCAAACGGTGCAAATGGCAAAGGGTTAGAGAAATGAGTGCGGCGAGCGGAAAGTGGCGGCAGCACCCAAAGGTTAGGCGCTTTTGTGGCCRGCATGTTGTTTCTGTGCCAACCGAGTGGTTTTAATATTTACATTCATTCGTTCATTCGGCCTGCWATTATTTGCGCTTAAACGACAAAAACTTAATTTCGACCTAGACAAAGTGCAAAATAYATGTATATGCGTTGTGTGCGAGTTTTTATCACAATCTCATAGTCCAGTATGCCGTTTGTGGGCGCGGCGGAAAGCGACGGCGAGGAAAAAACAATATTTGGGTGAAGTCGGCAAATTATTTGCTAATTTAATGCAAAATATATTGCGGCATGTAAATTGAAACTTTTGAGCTTGTACCGTTAYGAATTTTGATTAAAATTTGAAATATTAATTTGGAAAATATTACTTTTGCCTAATTAATTTGATTTTGATGTAATGTAGACATCAGTGCTTTTGAATGAATCGCTGAAATTTATAACTGTTTTAGTGAAAAGATGTTTATCTTTTAACTTCTATTACATGTATCTGCAGTTTTTCTGACTTAAGTAATAACCTGATAGTAGCTTAGAGCTTGACGTTATTTCTATTTACGATACTCCTCGAATAGCTTTGAGCGCATGTTTAGTGAGCTCAGCGCTAGTATTGTCGCTCTGCTGTCGGAGTGAATGCTCACCTGGCTGAAATAGACTACAGTTCGTAGCAGAACGTCTATCAAAACTTTAATACTAATATCGGGTAGCCTAAAGCTAAAATTGACGGAGGGCTCCTCACGGAGAACTCTTTCGCCTAGCTTTGATCCATCTGTGAAAATGCTCAAATGTCCTCTTCTTCAGTTACTAATTGCCATCAACATATTTATAGTCGATAGGTGAGCTGAAAAAAGTCATTACAAGTAGCCTCTGCGATGTAGTGTTTCTAAGTTTCCTGGAATGCTGGAGGAGAGAATTTCGGACTTGCCTTCTCATATGATCAGYCTCCTTAAGCCTTAGGACGCATTTCGGAACAATATTCATGGGTCTGCTCAATGTTTGGTCTCCATATAATATTTCTCTTAAGAATAAGCCCCTGGTATTAAATCACATCCACAGGTTGAGTTCGTGAGCCTCCGAGAGAGGCGAAGCTCGTCTGTGATTTTAGTGAAGTATAATGCCGTGCTTACGATCAGCCGGCTCAAAACTCTAGGTCATTGGAAACTAGCTCAGCTCAGATAGTGCCAACAACGATCTAGATTCACSGATGGATCAAAAAAGGTGAAATTATGAAATATATGATTATTTCTTGWTGAATACCAATTGAGTATACTTTTATATTTAAATAGAAGTAAATTAAAAAGCAGACGTATTGGCCCGGTTTTGTGCATTCGGAAATTCAGTTTCATCAAACTATCCTACGCCATTCGGCTTCTTAAAGGATTGCAATAATCTTTAGAGGACAACTTCATGACTTGGAACAGTACCCTCGGAGAGCGTAGCACAAAAGGACTTTGGTTAAGGGCGGCTAGACCAAAAATCTTCTACTTTTCTCAGCGAACTTCCAGTCGTTAGTCGATTGGGACGGGCTATCCCCCACGGCTCGCTAGGTTCTAAAAAGAATAAGATATTGGACAATTAGGAGTACAATGCGCCTAATGAGAGCTTAGTGCGACCGTGTTATTGCGTCTTATTTTGCACCTATTCAGCTAAAGTTAAGAGTCGATTTTCTAAAGAAGGGGTATGCTTCAAACATTACTGTTTCCAATCAATTTTCTATGCAAATTAAGGATTTACTGTGATTGCTTGAATTACAGAATTAAGAATTTTTTTAAGATCTACACTGCTATTTCTTAGTGAAACCACCCCAGCAATACACAACTACAAACTAAAGTTCTTTATCGCTACAAATTAGTAATATATCTCAACTAATTCAGAAAAACCAGTACCGCTAATATTTCTACTTGTGAGTGTCTACATTTCAAATTTATTTCGTCTGCAATCGTTCACAATAATTGCCTCCCAAAATATGAATATAAAAATTTGATTGCCAAAATAAAGCCGAGAACGTGTAATTACTTCGCGAGACATTATTGCGCTGCAACATAAAACGCGAACCGCCCACCGCCGGCGCAACAAGCAACACTTAATTGTCGGCAAAGCGCGGCGCGTTCGCAGGCTTGTAATTACATTTTCTCGGAGCAGCAGCTAGATAAGCGTAACATTTTACTTTTTAAAGCGCTTGCCGCCGTCGCCTCCCAAAGGGTTTGCGGCCTTTGATGAAGACACTTGAGCGCGCACGTGGTGGCCACTGTGTGTGTGTCCCCAAGTAGCCATGTAAGTATGTGTCTGGATGGGTATATATATGCGGATTTGTAGTGATATAGCATTTGCCATTTACGCACTGACATTTTCAACATTTATTACTTTCGCTTTGCAGCATTGCAAACATTTTTCATTAAGCCAATGCCGGGCGTGGAGGTCGTGTCGTGTCGTGTCGCCGGGCAACTTGAGAAGTGCCGCTGTTGCCGGTAGTTTGCATAACTAAGTAACAGAGTGAGATTAGTGATTAAGTAGCTGGCTGTTGGAGTGCTTTTGAGGTTTTAGTCCTGGTCGTACRCACATACCCAAACACACCTATGCAGCTTGCGCAAAAACGGAAATAGACTAAGAAAGCGTGTCTGCTCTTCACAAGGGAGTTGTTTTCCCCTCTTCATGACCTGGCGAAAAGGGTAACTTATCCGTKCGTTGGTTTTGCATTCATCCGACTATGTATTAAAAAGACGCGTAGGCAAATGTACAGGYATTTACGTGGACGTGTTGCTGGCAAAGTCTAAGTGGGTGTGTACAAATGCTGACTCCGGGTTACCGGGTTACCATTTGATTAATAAATATGACCAAGAAAACGAATCGATATTTTAAGCAATAGAATTTCTTTAMTTTAAATTTTTATAATACAATAAGTAAAAATGGTAATAGAACTCTGTGCTCTTTTCCACAAAATATAACTTCGGCTAATTTTGGAAAAAAATAAAATAAAATAAAACACGAAGATGGATAGAAATAGAATATAGAAACCAACAAGTCGCGAGTGATTTGACATTTCAAAATTCATACGAGTATAATGCCTTTGATACACAAATTGCACCATATGGTACATTTTTTCTAGATGGAAGAGCGACTGGAGGGCTTTCATTCGAACTAATTAAATTTTTTAGTACCATTAGYACCAATCCAGATTATTTAACACTGCTTTGGTGACCAGCGTTAAAGAAATAGTAAAAGCTTATGAAGCTAAATGAWATAAAAAGTACTGGCTGTACAGAGGGTACTGGGGTTATTAAGTTATGGCCGACGGAGCGTTTAATATGTTCATGCATAACGTGCTCATAGGCGTATGTAACTGGAAAATAACATCGATGTGCTTCCAGAATAAAGAAATTAGGAGGTGAAAACTCGAAAGATTATGAACAGCGCACTATCATTAATCAGCTAMACCTAAGTAAATCAGACTATATTCTAACAGGGTTAGATTTCAATAGTTAYTTTCGGGTGCGAATTCCTTCTAGACGTGAATAAAGTAGAAGTTTAGTAGGGGAGGAGGATACTATCTCTATGTACATATACTCCAATGATCTTAGCATCTATCTTTTCTTACATCGGACTCAGCCAGCATCTTCGAAGCAAAAGTACTGCGTATGAGAGTATACAGAAGGCAACCATATACACCGACAGCCAGGCGACATTGCTGGCATTGGCGGCGCYGCAGATTAATTTAGTATATGAAACAATAGCAGGAATTCTTCAATTTCACAGGTATATYAACTTCACTTGTCCATAATTAGGATTTTCGATGACAGAGACAATTTCGGAAACGAAAATGTAGACGAGTTAGCAAATCTAGAAGCCTCTTTAGACGAATTCGAGATGGCGTTAATATCAATACCGCTGTGTACAAAAAAAAGTGATACTTATATGCATTTTAACAAACCAGTTATGGCTCGAGAATAAGACAGAATAGAACAAAGGGGCTTATAAAATAGGTCGAGAAATAGTAAACATCCTCTCAAGAAAGTATTGGGAATTCTTTATTTAAATCTCCCGCTTATATGGAAGAGAAGTAAATTTTCCTAGGTTGGTACAACTGTCCTTATTCGACCTCAGTAGTGTTTGTCGAATTTTACCATGACCGGAAATATTGATCAACGTATTTGTGTTAAATTTTGTGTTGTGAACGAATTTTCTTGTGCCCATACATGGAAAATGCTGTAGAAGGATTTTGATGAATCTGCTCAGGACATGCAACGCGTTGCTGCAAGACTTATTCCGATAGAGCTGAATTTCCTTCAAAAAAGGTATCGAGATCAGWAGCTGCAGATATGCTGGATCGAGCTAGTTCGGATTCCACCTTCATGGAATGCATAATTACTGGTGACGAGGCATGGGACTACGAATATGGCACACTTACGAACCAGTAATCATGCGAATGGTGGCCCAAAGGCGCGCCAAAGTCGAACGAAAGTGAAGGTAATGCTAGTTGTTT